TGTCGATACGAGCATTGTCGGTCCTGCTCCCACACCACAGTCCCAAGAGTCATCCAAAACACCCCAACAAGCCAAGCAGGGGCTGAAAAGAAAGATCCAGCTGGATGCCTCGGATCAGTTGTTCAGCCAACTGCGAGATGCAAACTTTGCAATCGTGGGCGATATTCTGAATAAGGTGGCACGTCGCTTAGAAAATGAATACGAGAGTCGCCATACAGCTAAAACGACAGGCGAGCTTCGAGAATTTGTCAACCGATTACCAACCTACCAGCTGGAACACCAGAGTCTTCGAACCCATACCAACCTTGCAGAAGAAATAATGCGACTCACCCGCTCCGAAACCTTCCGCAAAACTTTGGAGGTCCAGCAGAACAACGCAGCCGGTGCCGACTCCACATACCAGCACGAGACAATCGAAGAGCTTATAGCTCGAGACGTCCCACTAACGACTGTGCTACGGCTCTTGTGTCTGGAGTCCTGCATGTCTGGGGGTCTTCGCCCCCGCGACCTAGAGAGTTTCAAGAGACAGGTCGTCCAAGCGTACGGCCACCAACACCTCCTCACATTCTGGGCACTAGAGAAAATGGAACTTCTTCAGCCTAGGTCCTCAGCAACGACGATGCTCCTCCCTACATCCGGCGCCCAAGCAGGATCAAAGACAAACTACGGGTACCTGCGCAAGAACCTTCGTCTTGTCATCGAGGAGGTCAGCGAAAAGGATCCGAATGATATTTCCTACGTGTACAGTGGCTTCGCGCCCCTCAGCGTCCGTCTGGTTCAATGCGTGTTACAAAAGTCCTATATGGTCTCGCTGATCAAGGGAGGTACACCAGCTGCCGCGCTGAATACAGCTAATACAACGTCGCCTGGCTGGCTTGGATTCGAGGACGTTGTCAAGAGTGCTCGCGGTGCTACTTTCAGCATTGTCCAGAAGGGCGATGATAAGGCTGTGCGGGCTCGTCAAACGCTGAGTGGTAACTCTGCTACAAAGACTGTATATGTCTTTTTCTTGGGTGGTATCACGTTCACCGAGATCGCCGCGTTGCGCTTCATTGCTGCGCAAGAGGCTCCACGGAGGAAGATCATTATCTGTACTACGAGTATCATTAGTGGTGATCGGATGATGGAGGCGGCTATTGAGAAGGGTAGCTTTGCCAAGGCGGAGTAAATGGGTTAATCTACGCCTAAGTGATCATAATAATACCTATGTATGTCATTTTCGGAAGAAAGGGATCTACAGTCTTCTTCTAATGTAAAGACCAAGGCGCACCGATGGCTGTTTGACTCGCTCGGTGGAATTATTCAATAATGTTCACATAGTTCTATCATCTGCTTCGATTCTAATTTTCAATCCAGCAAACATATAGATACCCCCAATATTTTTTTTAATAGCTGAATCCAGAATGAACGCCCATCAGCCGACCCTGATACCGCTCTATGACCTCCCCGAGCCGCACCATAACACCAGCAGCAAGGGTACGTATCTGCTCCTGGGGGTCAGTAACCGCTGAACTTGGATCAGCCCGGGCAGCTGAAGGCGGCGTCCGGTCGAAGACCTGGGAAGCCCACTCGCGCAACTCGATCACCTGCGTGGCGTACTCTGTGACAAGACGCTGCTCTCCATTTGAGCCAGACGCAATATTGAGATCCACTATGGCAAGGAAGAGGGACAGGAGTGCGGAAGTGACGGTTGGCTCGCTGGAGGTCGAGGCTGTGTGTAGCGGTAGTAGGAGTGAGAGGGTTTCGTGGGTGAGGCCTGGGAGGAAGGGCGTGTGGGGGCCTGTTGTGGAGAGAATGAGGGTGAGGGTTTGGAGGAAGAGGGTCAGGAGATGGGGGATGAGGAATGGGTTGTATGAGGACGTGGAGGACCTAAAGTGATATTAGTATATACATGATTAGAAACAAGATCGGGAAAAAGGACATACGACGAGAACTGCTGCATCATTATCTCGAATCTGCCCTGCAGTGGGAAGAAGAAACCTTCGGCAAGCACTTTGTGCAGATCCTTGATTGTGGAGTTTTGACGCTGGGCATCACGCTGATTGCGTTTCTTCTCGACTTCCATACGCGATGAGAAGGTTCGCACTTTGAGAGCGTTGGGCCCAGCCATATTATCTGCTGCGTTGGCTGCGAGGGGTTCCAAAGACGCGCGGGACATTTTCTGAGTGAGCGTTGCGATAGGAGACTCATTTGCCCCCGAGTACATCGCTTCTAGGGCAGGCGATAGCCGTTTGGATGGGAATGAGGTATCGCCAATAGTTGGGAGACGCAGTGCTTTAGCATCTTCTTCTCCATTCCCAGCTAGCTCACGAGCACTCAGACCCAGGGCCGTAAGAACAGCGGATCTCTGAACTTGAGAAAGGTCTCCATCGAAGTAAATGGCAGTGAACCAGCGGGCCATCTTGAAGGGCTCGGACACAATCAATGCAATCATGCTTTGTAGGCGAGATTCATGGAATGATGGATGATTGTTGTCGTTTTGAAGACCCACGACAGTCAGAGCTAGCTCCTCGATCTGCTCGGCAAGTTCAGTTCCGAATCCTATCTTCCGTCGAATTAAGGATGGGGCAGTGGTGATGGCGAGATGATACCGCTCGACATTCTCGGTGTCTCGGAGAGATGGAATCAAATCACGGATGTATCTTGAATTTGTTAGCGAGATCAATATTAACAGGCAATCTGTACTTACACAGGCGCTGTCGGCTTATTCCGTTGGATCAACGTGGGATCGTCATCAGAATCGTATGCATCGTCGTCCGGCTTTTCATACGGAATGAGATCGTCATCGTCATCGTCATCTTCATCTTCATCTTCATCACTATCCTCGACTTCTTCAATAGCAACAATCTTGCTTGTATGGTGGCGGGAAAATTGTGCTTTCGGCTTTGGGGCAGGCTTGGAGCGGACCAGTTCTGGTTTTGCTGGCAAGGCCTCTTGCAATGCTTTGATGGATTCAGGTGAGCCGACCTTGTCTTGGACCTTTGTCAAATCCAAATACCACAGCGCTTCCTCGCTTCGCATCTCCTGCAGGTCAAATTTCAGCACTTTGTCTGGTTGCTCAATGAGTTCAGATATTCCTGTTCCAACGATCATGCCAAGAAGTCGTGCTCTGTTAGAGCTTGCAGCAAGTCGATTTGAGACTGCATTGAGATATGCTCCTGACCGGCCTACTTCTTTGACTTGCGCTTGGTCTAACCGATAGAGGTGTCCAGCGGCGAGAAGAATCACTTGTGCAGTTGCTATTCAATGTCAGATGCTAATATTTTGGGAACAAGGGGCTGTGGACGGTTGACAAACCATTCTGAACCATATTGGGGACATGTTTAATAGAGAACTTATCTCCAAATTGCTCAAGACTGCGTACGAGCAATGGCTTCAACACATCTGTTGCAGGTCGTTAGTTTTGTTGTCTCTTTCTTCAGCAAAGCGAACTTACCACCACGGTTAACAAAAGTGGCTAATATTGCACGGCGTAATCCCAACGTGTTTATTGAGCCACCTTGCGATTTTGAGAGCCATTCCATGACTTGGCTTTCTAGACCTGGATGAGAAGAAACGACAGCGGAAACCAAAGCTGCCACCCCTGCAATGGACTCCGAAGGAGTGAGTGATGGGCACACTGTCCCCGATAGATCATCTGAAAAGTACGTTCGTTGTATATCACGGAAGATCGCCTCTACAAATGCAAGCTGCTCCGTCCGTCTGAGATGGTTTAATAAGACCCCAAAGCACACCGGCGAAGACTGTCCAAGAAGTAGATCCGAGTAGATTTCTTTGACAACTTGATCTATGTGATGTTAGCATGAGGCTCAAATCAAACAACCACAATATATTCACCTGTATATCCAAGGCTTAAGGCTCGCCCTGTCAACAAAGCAACTGAAGCCCAATCGCTTTCGTTGTCTGGGGATAGTCTCGCTGCCATATGAGAAACATTGCGTCCAAGCCACGATGCATATTGGGAACCATTCCCAACCCAGGAGAATGAAGATACTGATCTTGACTCATCAACAACAGTAAGAGCCTCGGCTGCTGTTGATAGAATCTTGCCGGCAGCAACGAGCGACACAAGCTCTCTCCACGTAACTTGCTGTCGAGTCTTATTGTCATATATGACCGAAATGTCAGAAGAAAGACGGAGCAAAAAGTCTCTTGGCTCTAGCAAAGCAGCAAGCACAGCCAGGAGATCCCGGATACCGAGTTGGCTGCTTGAACCTTGGGCTTGCTGGGCAGAAGCACGAGCCGCATTGATTAAAGATCGTAGCTGAGCCACCAATGAACCAAGACCCGCGACGCTGCTAAGACATCTCAATAATGCTGCTCGGGCTTTGGCGTCTTTCCCTTTGCTATCTTTTGCATCTAGCGATCCCCAATGATCTGGAATCGTGGTGCTGACTAATAGTTGGAGAATCTGGGCTGTGATAGGACTCGCAATCCGGAGGTCGAAGTCCTTTGTAGATTTGGATTTGCTGAAGGGATCAAGGGCTGCCAAAATGGCATACAGCTGTTCACGATCGGGTCTGGATTTGAGTAGATCTATAATGTGATGTGCTGATAGATGTTCAGGATCAATGTTGTCTCTTGCTGGCGGATCAGCGCGCAGAGACTCGACAGTAGATGTAACAAGGGCATCTGAATCTCGCTTGACAGTTTTCACTGCCGTCAGAAGGCCCTCCATTTTCGATTTGAATATCACTTCGGGGGAAAAGAGATGGTGTGCCTGAGGTGAAGATTACAGTAGGCGGGCCTGAGATTAGTCAGCCATAGTCACCTCAAGGCAGCCCACGCGCAGATGATGTTGTCAACTCAGCCTCTTCATTACCAGTGACTTGAATACTTTGGTGATCCAATCAAAAGCTGAACTAGATCTGTACCTGATATCACTCCCATCAAGTTCATTCTGCCTGCCGCCCACTGCAACGAGCCTTGACCCGTGTAACGCGAATTGATACTACGCCTATTTACTCTCATCAGTTACTCATAACAGGATTTCTATCAAGATGGATGTGGATGTGCAAACCCCAGATGCCCCAGAAGCTCCGATTTACGTGGACCAACAGGGTCGATGGTGCGTTGGATGACCCTTCAGACGTCTGATCTGCTCTAATACCCCACAGGAAGCACCTCTACAACGTCCTAAGTAAACGTGGTCCTTTTACAGATGACGACTGGAACCCTGGCCCCGAGCCCATCAATGCTCTGGAATCTGCCAAAATCCTGTAAGTTGATGCATTTCGGAGATATTACTTTTGCTAACATGAATCCTAGGGTGATGTTTGTCAACCTCGCAAAGTTGTGGTATTCTATCAAGAGGAAGAACTGATTGGGATCTAGTGGAGCTGGTGGACTAGGATGCGAGATCTTAAAGAATCTCGCGCTGTCGGGATTCAAAGATATTCATGTCATTGACATGGGTATGTGTTTCAACTCTCAATGTCAGGACCAGAAGCTCACTGCCAACAGACACCATTGATATATCAAATCTCAACCGGCAGTTCTTGTTCCGCCAGGCTGATATCGGAAAGCCCAAGGCTGAAGTCGCCGCGGCTTTTGTGCAAAAGCGAGTTAAGGGAGTGAAGATCACACCCTACGTCGGCAAGATCCAGGATAAAGATGAAGACTACTACATGCAGTTTAATATTGTCGTCTGTGGCTTGGACAGCATCGAAGCTCGACGCTGGATCAATTCCACGTTGATCTCGATGGTCGATGAAGACGACCCTTTGAGCCTGAAGCCACTTGTTGATGGCGGAACTGAAGGTACCTACCTACATCGTCAAACTACGTCAAGAACATGTTGCTGATATATCAAATAGGTTTCAAGGGCCAAGCCCGTGTCATTCTACCGTCTATCTCATCCTGCATTGAGTGCCAGCTGGATATGCACGCACCTCGTCCAGCAGTTCCTCTCTGCACCATTGCTACCATCCCGCGCCAGCCTCAACATTGCATTGAATGGGCGCACCAGATCGCATGGCAAGAGAAGCGCAAAGACGACACCTTTGACAGCGACGACATGGAACACATATCGTGGATATACAATGCCGCTTACGAACGTGCCCAGCATTTCCATATCCATGGCGTTACCTTCCAGATGACCCAAGGTGTGGTGAAAAATATCATTCCGGCTATCGCATCAACGAACGCCGTCATTGCGGCCTCTACAACTTCAGAAGTGCTCAAGATCGCCACTAGCTGCAATCCATTCCTAACCAACTATATGATGTATGCTGGTGAGGAAGGGGTGTATACATACACCTTCGAGGCGGAGAAGAAGCCCGACTGCCCCGTGTGCGGAGAACTTGCCCGAAAGCTGAACGTGGATCCCAATATGACCCTGGGCGAGTTCATCGAGAGCCTCGGGGAAAGAGCCGAAGCTCAATTGAAGAAGCCTAGTATGCGGACCGAAGAGAAGACACTCTACCAGCGCTTCCCGCCTCAGCTAGAGGAAATGACACGACCTCACCTTGTAAAAAAGCTGGCAGATTTGATCGAGGATGGCGAGGAGGTCGCTGTCAGCGACCCAGCCTACACTACCACATTCCGCTTCCGTCTTCACTTCAAATAATGGTAACCTGTCCTACCATTCCATGTGAAAATTACGAGAAATCAGATATCTTACGACCGGGATGATTAGCCTTAGTTAACTGTGTAGAATTCAAAAGGTAGCTGTTGGGCTCTTTTCCAAGACAATTAACACATCCAGACTCCAGCCTCGTGAGGCGAAGCCCTGATCGACTTTTCGTAAATGTACAGCGCAAAGGCAGCCAAAAAATCCAACGCCAAAGAATGCATATAATAAGGTGTACCAGAGAAAAGACCCATTGATCAACCCATCAGATCGGTCAGACCTCTCTTCCACCGGTTGCACTTCAGCTTCATAACCTTGACAGCCTCCAGGAAGAGCATGTCACTCTCAAATTGACCGGTGCTCTCCACGTTGAAGATGAAGTGATCGCGAACCCGTCCCAGCTTGACCTTATCCTTGAACTCATCGTGGCGCAGGCACTCTCTGCTGACAGTATCATTGAACGCATCCTTCACGACGGCCTTCTGCTCGCCGGTGTGGCCCTCATACCCACTTCCACGCTGCGCGGCCTCTGCAGAGGTAACAGGCTCAAGACCAATCACACCCTTAGGGAAGCACTTGGCAAACTTCTTCGCATCGTCGCCAATGATGGGACGCTCGATCTTAATCTCAGGCAGGAGACGGTATGAAGCGGTAGCAACAGGCGAGAACTTGGCGTGATCGGCGCCGATACCCTTCTGGCAGTGGAGTTCCATCTCGATCTTCTGGCCGGGACGGAGCTTGGCGATCAGAATATCCGGGTTGACAGGTGCGATAGCACCGTCGCCGATGAAGAACTGTTCCTGGCGACCGACAGGCATGTACATGAGGTCCTTGGCGTAAACGTGGGCATTGGTGTACAGCTTGCGGGGGTCCTGCTCGTCCTTGTCTGCGTACTCGTTCTTGTAACATTCCACGTCAAGATGAAGCACAATGGTGTTGAAGTCGCAGGGGCCATCTTCCTCCTCAGCTCCGTCTTCGGACGCCTTCTTGTACCAGTGCATCCAGTTGATTCCCTCGACAGAACCCTTGAGCGGGATCAGGCCCAATCGTTGTGCGAGCACTTCATCTTGAATGACGGAGGTGTTGTTGTGAATGAAGCAGTCTTCAATGGCAATGGTGGGGATCTCGGCCATAAGGATACGACGGAAAGCATTGGCGACTGAGGCGTCGAGACCGACTAGCGAGAAGGAAGCCTCGAACCGGTCATTGCGGTGGAATTCGACTTGGAAATTCTGTTGGACGTAAATGGTCAGAATTGACTGAATCCAGCAGATTATAGCTTCATGGTAATGTTTCAGCACATACATTCTTGAATTCGTCAAGTGCCCATCCATGCGACTCCCCGGGCCAGTGGCCAGGAAAATCTGTAGAGGGGATATTGGTGACAGTTTCCGCATTGATACCGATGATCTGGAACGATTAGTATTCTGAGCTGTATGGAATCATTTCTAGAGACATACACGGCGGCGCTGCAGCTCCTCCTGCGAGGCAACAAGAGGCGCCATGGTGAGCAACTGTATAAGGTCTGGTGGAGGTTGAAGGTAAAATCCGCGATCACCGATAAGAGAGATTTCTCGAAGTAATTTTCTAGTTTGCCTGAGGCAGCAACCGGGACTTTATTCTGCACAGAGAATACTGCATTACATAATCCGTAAATGCTGAATTATACGAGGAATACATAGCGCTAAGCCAAGAACAGGCTAGCGTTGAGCCAGCACTAACACAGTATAGTGGCCCCTTCAGGCCAACCAGCGCACGACTGATGACCCGGCAGCTTTTCACGTGACGAGCCAAAATGCGACTCCCAACTTGAGACCTTCAGCGAGTTCCCTATCCGTAGCGAGCCATATCCACCCATTGAATGCGCGTGGATTGAGGATCATCTCCCCTCTTTTCCCTCTTGGATCTCCAATTCTCCATCCTCCATGGCCGCTTCTTTCGCCCGCCTAGCGGGCAATGCGCCCAAAAGGCTCTGCCTCCGCCCCTCCTCGCTCAACACATCCATTCCTCGTTCCCGCTCGATAGCCACCTCTGTTCCTCGCCGTCATGCAGAGGCTACAAGCTACCAGGCCACACGACTTGTGCCGACCGACCCGACCTTCACTTCCCTCGCCAACAAGGGTATTCCCGAGGACCCCGAGGCTGCTGCCCTTGAATCCCAGGCCGAAGGAACCGACCGCAAGATTCGTCATTACACTGTCAACTTTGGTCCTCAGCATCCCGCTGCTCACGGTGTGCTCCGATTGATTCTGGAACTCAACGGCGAAGAGATTGTTCGCTCCGATCCTCACGTCGGTTTGCTTCACCGTGGTACCGAGAAGTTGATTGAGTATAAAACCTACATGCAGGCCCTGCCTTACTTTGATCGATTGGATTACGTTTCCATGATGACCAACGAGCAGTGCTTCTCCTTGGCCGTTGAGAAGCTGTTGAACGTCGAGATCCCTGATCGTGCCAAGTGGATCCGTACCTTGTTCGGCGAGATGACCCGAGTTCTGAACCACCTCATGTCCGTCCTGTCCCATGCAATGGACGTGGGTGCCCTGACTCCTTTCCTGTGGGGTTTCGAGGAGCGCGAGAAGCTTATGGTGAGTACTTGATTGAGAGCTGCGGCCAGGTCTTATTTACTGACACTTCGGGTGCTTTAGGAATTCTACGAGCGTGTCTCCGGTGCCCGTCTCCACGCTGCCTACGTTCGCCCCGGTGGTGTGTCGCAGGATATCCCCATCGGTCTTTTGGACGACATCTACCAGTGGGCCACTCAATTCGGTGACCGCATTGACGAGACCGAGGAGCTGCTCACGGATAACCGTATCTGGAAGGCCAGAACCCAGGGTGTCGGTGTTGTTAACGCCACCGATGCGCTCAACATGAGTTTCACTGGTGTCATGCTCCGTGGCTCGGGTGTTCCCTACGATATCCGCAAGTCACAGCCGTACGATGCCTATGACCAGGTCGAGTTCGACGTTCCCGTCGGTGTCAACGGTGACTGCTACGACCGTTACCTCTGCCGTATGGAGGAGTTCCGCCAGTCCCTCCGTATCATCCACCAGTGCTTGAACAAGATGCCCGCTGGTCCGGTTCGCGTGGAGGACTACAAGATCTCACCCCCTCCCCGTGCCGCCATGAAGGAGAACATGGAAGCTCTCATTCACCACTTCCTTCTCTTCACCAAGGGTTACTCCGTCCCCCCTGGTGAGACCTACTCCGCCATCGAGGCCCCCAAGGGTGAGATGGGTGTCTTCCTGGTCAGTGATGGCAGCGAGCGGCCATACCGCTGCAAGATCCGTGCTCCTGGTTTCGCCCACTTGGGTGGCTTCGACCAAGTGTCTCGTGGTCACCTGCTCGCCGATGCTGTCGCAATTATCGGTAAGTCTTTGTTCCCTTGTCTTCTTCAATTCCAACTTCTAACGTTGAATCTAGGTACTATGGATCTTGTGTTCGGTGAAGTTGACCGGTAAACGATATTGGCAACGCAATAATAAAAAAGAAAAACCAAACCCGAAGAAAACCTTCCCATGGCACCCTTTTAGATGGTTAGATTCGCCTGTGCTGGGGGAAAATCAGAAAAGAGGAACAACCTATTTCCTTGATGTGATTTATAAACCCTAGAACTTTCGACGCTGGCTAGGGTGTACCAAATGTTCCATGTTTTCTTCCCATGGCGTTGTGCTATTATGTCCTGTCATTCTCCTTTGTGTGTCTGTTTTTTTCTACCTTTACTGCTTCAGACAAGCCCTGTGTATAGTGAACATCTGATTCTTCTTCCGTGAGCTGTTTTTCAATGTAGGGTATATCATCTATAAATCTAACACAAGCTCAAGTCTGAATTTTATAATATAGTACATGGTACCTTTGCATACGAATTTATGTATGTAGAGGTCCTACATAGACTGATTACATAGAGAAATAATCAAGATATCCCTTACATTGATGATCCATGGATTGTTTGCTTGGTGGCAAAATACACACCGCCCTGGGGATATAAGAAGGTCCTTCCTCCCCCAGAGGTTCCTCTTCTTTTCTTTCTTCTTTAGCTCTCTTTGCCTATTGGCTTAGATCAAGTGTAGTATCTGTTCTTTTCAGTTTAATCTCTGAAAGTTTCCGTCCAGGAAACACTTTGATTATTCCTATTTTTGGACCCCGCGACTTGGCCCCTGTGCTTGCGCATGCCTCGTTGCACAGTGTCATTGGGCTTACACTACCCCCGATCGACGCGAACTCACTTTTTCATCAACTGTTCGGCTTGTCCGGGCGCTTGGAGAAGATGTCCCTTCAGAATCTACCTTGGTGTTAGTAAGGTGAGTCGCTTGTTTACCCTGCTGAGATGAGGGTGTGGTTGTTGACGTGGGCGATCACCCTTGTAGCGCAGATAGTTTGGGTGCTCTGTCTCCAATGCGACTCCCCCTCTCCCCTTTGTCCCTACAACGTAGTGCCATAGAAGTTGTCAATGGGGAAATGCTGTCGATTCAGTCTATTTTGTTTTTGTATGTATCTTGTAGGCTCCAGGGCTATGGGAACAAGGAGTCCGATCAACTCGAGGGTTCTGGGAGCCCAACCGTCCAGACAGCATTTCCATGGCAGGCTCGTTTGATAAACACGTCCAGATGTTTGATCACTCGGTTTCAACGTTTGTACGTCAATATTCACTCGAACCTTGTTGCGAAAACTGCTCGATCTTTCTGATGACTCTTTATGACCTCTATACCACGTTATTTTGACAATTCCAACGCATCCTTGGTTTAAACAGCTGAACCCTCGGTTGCATATATCGAGCCATATAAGGTACAAAGAGTATTCATGGAAATTCTCAGGTATCTGCCATTATAACCGCCTGCTTGACCTATTTGGTGACCCCCGCACCGAGTCCGGCTCTGTGATAATCTCCAAATCGGCTATATGCCACTCTGCAAGGTACAAAAACATCTAATGATTCTTAATCATCTTGGAAACAAAGTGAAGTCTATTTGAAATATTCAACATGATCAAACAAATAGACATTTCACAGTCAGTTATATATCCCAAGTGGTTCGGGGGCTCTGCATCATGCATGGCGGTCCTTGTTTCCCACCCTTTGGACCTGGGTGAGCTAAGCCATTCCATTATAAAGAACACAGTTCTGATTGATCCATCATAGTTAAGGTTAGAATGCAAATGAAGCATAGTGGCACGAAACCCGGGACACTCACTACCTGCATTCGAATCGTTCAGCGAGAGGGCGTGCTTGCACTTTATAACGGGGTAGGTCTAATGAAGAGCGACGTTAATTGTGATCATATACTGATGTTTTGAAGCTTTCGGCAGGGTTTATGAGGCAGTGTTAGTCCACCTAACTATTCCATCTCTTTTACCAATCCCAATTTATATTGACCCATTCGGCAGTAACATATGGCTCGGTCCGCATCGGCCTCTACGAGACACTAAAAGAACAAACCAAAGCGAACAATATTCCCACCTCCCCACCAGTTCTTGGGATATTAGCAGGAATTTCTGGATTCATTGGCGCTATCTTCGGCAACTCCTCAGATATAGGCAACATCCGCATGCAAAACGACGGTTCACTACCTCCTCATCTTCGTCGCAATTACCGGCACATCTTCGATGCGTGGAGACAGATCAAGCACCAAGAGGGATGGAAGGCCTTTGGACAGGGGTTGTGGCCGAATGCTTTCCGCTGTGGTATGATGACCAGTTGCCAGCTTGCATCATATGATAGTTTTAGGGATTTGATAGTGGCAACCACTGGGATCCATAACGATCATCCTGTGTTGCATTTATCGGCTTCATTCTTAGCGGCGCTGGTTGCTACAACGCTGTGCAGCCCGATTGATGTAACCAAGACTCAGTTAATGGGGTCCTCAAACAAGCGAGGAATATTGCATGTTATAAAGGATCTTACAGCCGCAGAGGGAATGAGATGGGTCTTTCGAGGGTGGACGCCTGGTTTTGTTCGGTTGGGGCCACAGACCATGGCAACGCTGATTCTTTTGGAGCAGCATAAGCGGTTATACAGGGATTTCAAAGAAAAGACAGATACTCAGAAAATCTCACTCTAAGTCAGCCCTTCAATGTACTGTTGGACTCCATGTGACTCCATGAGTATTTGATTTCTCACACAGTGCTTGTACCTACATGTACCTAAATGTACCTACATACATAGCATAGGCTTTGTACAATCCACCAAATTTGTGCTAGCAGTATTTATCTCTTCCCACTGTGAAAATTACAGTTCATAAGTTGCTTGCACATACTTTTACAGTTTTACGGATCTCTTTAACTACCACACAGGTGAAAAAGGTACACGCGGAGCTAGCTAGATTTTATAGTTAGGTATTGTTGGAGAAGCTCGTCGCCCTCGCCGTATTCAATGTTTTGTTTTAGTCTGTGGAAATCGGAGCCTTGCAGCCACCGCGTGGCAACTGCCTGAGGCCGTCAACCCAGTATATGAACTGTTTGTTTTTCACGAGACTACATATCACGATCTTCAGACGACTCAGTCGATCAGGTTCATTTCTCTTCTCACAATTCAGCTTGCTTTGGTTTCCACAACATCCAAGCCATTTCAATCAGCCCAGCCGTCAACTTGGGCCCATACCAACCCACATATCTCCGACGGGACCTATCCACTTGCTGCTATTTCTACTATCTTTCTCAGTATTCCCTGGCGACTGCAGCCACTTGCTGATCTATCTCGAGATCGATCGCGGATCTGATCCGACTGATGAGGTATAGTGCACACTAAGCACGCTGGGTGATGATTCTAAGTATGAAAACATCTAGCATTTGACCCAGACGCATGAGAAGTGACTGAATCCCACCTTGCCAGCTCAGCATCAATGGAGACCCCACTAGAGCACCATTCTGAACGACTGACTCCAACTTCTACGACACCTCTACTCTTCACCTTACCCGTTGAGATACGTCTCGATATCTTTGGCTTCTGCATCCCCCGAAAATGCGCCATAAAAGTGACAAACGCCATGTATCGGCCTTACGGGGTCGAGCCTCTGGTTTCTACGCGTGATCCGTCCCCCACAAGCGACAGGTTCGCCAACACCCGGCCTCACTGGACCAACATATTACATGTTTCCAAACAAATGAGCGATGAATGTCTGGACATCCTTTATGGCGACAACTTGTTCGAAGTTTACCTGAACAAAGGAGGTGAAGGTATGCTCAAGAAAACATTCAGCAAAGAGAATCTCCAGCGAATCCGGTTCATTCTTGCCATCTCTCCCGGCCCATGTTTTACTGGGGAACTGAACTCACCTGACATTCCTTTCTGGGCCATGATAATCCCAAAGCTGAAGCTGTTTGAATGGGTGACACAGCCAGACAAGAGTGCCGAGCAGAACATGAGCGATGTTATGATCAAGCAAGGATTGGAGGGCTGGATGAAGTGGACGGACTCATACTCGGACTGCTTCGGTGAATTTCTGGTGGCTGGGGTCGAATTCAAAATGAGATTTGACAAAGGAGATGGTGAATATAGGAAGATCGGCCGGCTTTTTTTCCGGCGAGGACCTTTCTTCAAGAAGGATGGATAGAAATGAGATGATGAGAGCCATGATGGGATCCAAGAGATATTCCACAACAATCCATGTTCAAAATAGCCCGATCTTTCAAATACGAGGTCTTACAACATACTACAAGATAGTATCCTGGTCGTTACACTCTGCAGTACTTTTTAACGCGACATTCGCACCTGAGCAAGAATATCCGGCTGCTTATGCGGCCTTGTTAAGTATTCTTTTAGATGTCTTCTTAGATAAAGGGTTCATTCCTTCATAAGTAATATAGCTAGAAGTAGAAGAAGCGCTAGCCACAAGATACAGAAAATAGGCTGTTAAAGCTGCTTGAAATGTGCAAAATGACCTTTCCATGTCCATGGGTATAACATTTGATTACGAATTGGCCATCATGAAATCCAGCATGAGAATCTCTCCATATTTGTAGCCCATCAAAACTCTGATATCTTTCACTCTGTAAGGTTTTCAACGATTACCCAAACCCCCATATTTATGCTTTTGGCGGGAATGCTCATATCGCGCGCCCTCCAAGGCTTGATTGCACTGTCTGTCGCAGTACCGTAATATTATAACCAGAAAAGGAGAATAACTGCGTAGTTGTTTGTCATGACCTGTAGAATTTCAGGTTAAGGTAACTGCCTCAGGCATTTGTAGGCGACAGGACTATATCTGCCGGCCATCCTCTTCCCTGTCACTTTCCCTCTCTCTCATCTCTCTATCCCTCTATATTTCATCTCCCTCTCATCTCTCTCTCATCTTTATCTCATTGAACCCCTTCTACGAATACGGCTTTGGGATACGAGAGTACCCGGATGCAAGAAGCATGCCCCGTCGAGGACGGCGAGGACGTCAAAGACATCAAAGAAATCAAGGACTCCCGACAGCGGCACCTATTCTAAACCCATATGCAGCCTGCACTCTGTGCGGTGATAAAATCTACAGCTTTTCGACCACTGGGATTTCCGAGATGTGCTTTTCAAGGTTGATCACGGGCTCAGATTCCATCTCTCTGGGGTTGGCGAGCTTCGACCAATCCATCAAATATAGCTGCCATGGGATGAGAAGAAAATGGTTTTATGGAATCATCAAATCCATATTCGAAGCTCTAGTCAGCACGCTACCTTGAGAACATGATCGCGCAGTACACAGAAAAGTACACCAAGCAGATGGCGAAGGGGTTTGGGCCAATATCGCAACCCTCAGTACCTACACATACAATGTCCCGGCGATCATAGGTTACTTTCAAATCTAGAAACTTGTTTCTCCTGACCGAACTCATCTTAAACATCACAGGTTACCTGGAAAACCACAAGGACATCCGAAATCTGCTTTCGGTGTTTCCGCATTGGCACCAGATGATTCCGGACCGCTATTGGCGACGTCGGTTCATCGATGATAACTATCTGAACGACGATCGGTTCCCACCAGCGGATGCTCTGGATTGGCAACATATCTATCTTAATACTGACAGGCTGTTACAGCCATCGTTGGGATAGAGAAACATGCAGCATATTCTGAGGCAAGTACAGGAGGCAAAAGATCGATTTATGCAGCGACTGGAGCAGACAGATACTCAAGATTGGAAAGGATCGAATCTACATCGGGCGGAGGTGGTTCCAAGAAGTGACAGAACGTTTACGGAGTACTTATGGACACACCCTGGGGGTTTCTTTTATTTTTCTGCATTATTCTTCCATGTGCTACCTACTCAGATTAGGAAATTTCATTACAATGAATTAAACGACCAGCCATGTTCTTTCTGTCAGCTTCGTACTCCGTACTCTTGGCAGCAATGGCATAATAGCAGCCTATAGTTCGTTTGATGCCTGAGGAAGCATTGTGGCGTATGATGTAGTCTATGTATAAACCTGCTTCTGTTGTGGCGCAGTGCATACAGGTTCCCATATTTCCCCCAACAAGTTGTCGCATTACTCTGTACGGAGTACGTTGTACAGCAACCTCTGATTAGGAGATTAAAGTGCCTGTCGAATTTTTGACGTTGTTTTCGCGTGGATTCGAGATGAAGGACCAGTGAACAAAATAATCTAGATTAGAATGATTAGTAGACTAAGGCTACATCTAAAAAAATGAGAAAATGTCCTCATTAGTTCTATACCAAAAGGGCATGGAATATAGGGAGTTTTGATGGAATATATCCAAGTCAAATGGTCGAGAAGCTTCAAGAAGAGGTGGACCAGGCCTTGTTGTCTGGCCAATGGGATCATTTTAAACTGCTTATGTAATTGTTGTAAGTTGCACTTGGGGACCTCCACTGGGTAAGATCGCGTCGAGCTCTCCTTCAGCCAACTTCCATTCCTTTGTTTATCACGCATAATATTTGGTCTGCAGTGAACATCAAGCATCTGATCATCATCGCAATTACTTTTACTTCTACCCTCTCTCCCTTCACCAATTGCAGCCTACCCATCTCCGATCGCAAAATGGCCACCGACTACAGCAAGAAGACCAACGCCGAGTTGGTTGAGATCCTTAAGACTCGCTCTCTCCCCCACACTGGAAAGAAGGCCGACATGGTCTCGCGCCTTCAGGAACACGACGAGAGCAATCCATCCGACGCTCCTGCCGCAGCTCCTACCGCAGCCAAGACCGACGCCGCTGAGGACGTCATTGACTGGGACGACGAACCCGCAGAGACCATTATCGAGCCATCCACAGAAGCCGGCGCAGCTGCGATTGCCGCTGGTGGCCAGGGCGCAGTTCCCAACCCCGTCGCTGTCCCGAACCAACAGCTCGACGAGAACCCCGCCACAACTGAGAACTTGAAGGTCGAGGCGACCGGCGCCGTCGCTGAACCAACTACTCAGCCCGAAGCCGAGACTGAACAGAAGCCCGCCGTCGATTACACACGAGGACTCCCCCAGACCGATCTGGAGGCGGAGCTCGAGAAGCGCAAGGCTCGCGCGCAGAAGTTTGGCATCGTTGAGGATGACGACACAGCATTGAAGGAGGCTACAAAGCAGCTGGAGCGCGCTAAGCGGTTCGGTACTGGCGCCGAGGCTGAGACTACACCCGCTGCAGGTGTAAGCCGTCTTGACCAGGCACTTCCGGATGAGCGCTCCCGCAAGAGACGTAATGATGCCCGCACCGACTCTCGCAACGACCAGGGTGGTCGTGGAGGCAAGAGACGCGACACTGGACGCAACCGCAACAACCGTCAACGTGGGGATGGAAACCGGGATGGAAATCGCAACCGTGGCGATGGGAACAAGACTAATGCTGGCGTGAAGAAGCCTAACGCCGGAGGGAACACTGCCCAGAAGTCTTGGAGTGAGAAGGATAATGCGGCTATGGAGGCTCGCAAGAAGCGGTTTGCGGCCGCTGCTTAAATGTTTCCAATAGTTTGTGTCTGGTATCTGATTTGGTCTTCGGTTCCATCTCTTGTTCTTTCATCATGGGCGTTGGTGTGTTGATATGCTGCTGGAGAATTTCAGGGTCATTCCATTCGATTTGTTTTGTTATATGTCTCAATGAAAATGTACAAGTGTGTGAATTTTTATATTTTAAAGAGTGCAAGCAGTCCTCCAGGTCTGTATGTGTCCATATGTAAGCTGCTTAATCCAAGGCCAGGAGGGACCTATGCCCGGGCTTGCCAGATGTATAGTTATTCAAACCCGAGATTTCTCAACTTCTCCATTTCCCATATCCAAGCAACCTCAGAGAAAATTTAATCTTCAAGTTCTCTCGCGGCAGAAATAATCGGCAGAAATAATCGGCAGAAACAATCGGCAGAAACAATCCCCTGGCCCTGGGTTGCGTGCAAAGTCAGCTGAAATGTGCATTAGTCGCCTGTTCCTGCAGCATGGGCGTCGACCAGTACGACCACTCACTAGGCAAGGATAGGCCAGATCGTGATTGTGGGACCTCAAACTCATCTTTACTTATCTTTGAGAGTCCAAGAGTACTTCACAGTACAATATTACAATTGCAATATATAACATACAAAGTGCTCCGTACAGTCAATGCCGTTGTTCCTATTGCCCGGATTACCGCCCTCTACCCACTTAGATCAGTGACACTCCCCGCGAATCACAACCCAGAACTCGCTTTTTTTTTAGATGGTGGCTGCAAGCCAACACTGATTATCGTACAGGGCTTGTTCATTGCTCCATCATTCAGTGGGCCATCACAGCCCAGTGACTAGCGGGCTCCACTGTCTCGAGGCTCCACGGCTTAAACATCGAAAACCGTAACGAAATGCCCTCTGCGGACAGTCACTGGCTCGTTGGATGGTACAAGTCCAGACGTTAGACTCAACTTTAAAGCCCCTGCGCTTTTAAACCAACCTATGGGTGATTGGAAGGATTTTCTCCGAAAGGTTCGGGACGGGCCTCTGTACCAAACCATGGACTATGGCCGTTGGGAAATCTTCCAAGTTGGAGACTTGATATGTCTCATGTACGATAACAAGTGGGATTGGAAATGGATCGACCGTTTCGGAAATATGAAGCATTTTACTATATGCATGGCCCATTTAGACCACGTTGGGAAATTCTCCGAATGCCCAGGAAAGGGAGTTGCCAAACGCCAAAAAAAAAAAAGAAAAGAACCAAAAAAACCCCCCTTCACGTCGATCATTTCACCATTTGGGGTTGAGTCGTTCGGCGTCTCCGAATGCGCTGTCCAGGAGGCGAGAGACGCGATAACCAGACTGGTTGTCAATACGAGTTCGCTACCGTACAGTTCTAATGTGCAGGTGCTCAGCTTGAGTCTACATCTCACCTGACATGCGAATCAAGTTAGGTCTTTTTTTTATTGAGTCAAGCCATTAGCTAGGGCCCCGGGGGTACGCCACGGGTTGTACCATAGCCTGTCACGTTGTCTGGCCCTAATACCTTTACCGCCAGGAGCCGATACCGTAAGCAAAGCAGCCAACGACATGTCTTTGCTTGGGAGAACCCTTGAGTGGACCGGCATTTACCTCCCCATGTGGACTTCCGTGCGCGCAGTCTTGATCTAGCTGGGGAATCGCCCTGGTTATTTGTAGAATCCCGTTTTTGACTTTGCAATGGGGGCTACGCTTGAGAAGCACTGCGCAACTTTCGCAATGTACTCGTCCTTTTGACAGGCTCTAGGTCTTCCCAGTCTCGATTCCTTCCCGTCTTGTCACAGTAGTCACATTACTTTCTTGCCAATGAGATCGCTGGTTACATTCTTTCTATATGGTCATTGCGGTTTCGAGGTATTTTCCCCCACATCCGAGGGGCAACCCCAACACATAAATCTCTGGCGTCTCGGAAATTCCAAGTCTTTGATCTACTCATTTTGACGTTACAATTTATTTTTATCTACTTCAAATTTCATCTCTGACGTGGCCAAGGCTGGAGAATAACCCTGACATTTGACGCCACATTGCTCCGGACTGTGGCGAAGTAGCTGCAGCTTTAAGGCTTCCGATCCACAGTGGACTTTTCTCTTTATCTACTGACGTCTGTGAGTGTGCTTTTCTTTTCTTCTTATGGTTAACATACTTGCAATGTCTATTGACACTTGCTTTTTAGTTGTGCGACTTTGAGATACCCTTTTGTTTTGTTTTTCGCGAATTCCATCTACTTTTTACTTAATTCTATACACTGTCAAGGACTAGGCGCCAACAATATCGATATTTTTGTTTGACATGACTCAGATACCGTGAGCTTACATACTGAATATGAAGCTGGACCAATGGACTGATTAAATCCAGACAGCTATATACCCCCATAACGACGTGATGGTTACTATAACGAAGTACATGTACCCACCGTTTAATCATTTGTCCCTGGATTGGAGCCGGGGTCTTCACTCATCCGTACGCCATGTCGTACAGCTCTGGCCATCACATGCCACACGATGCTTCTTCAAACTTATCACATACCAATGCTGATGCCTATGGCCGACCTCCACGATCCCAAATTGCGAGACCCGTCAATCACACCCCTAGAAGCAGAACCTCGTCATTCTCAGATGCCGAAGATATTGGCCCGGTCTCAGCGCCTTCGGCTCTCAAGCGATCTACCAGTCGTGGAAATCGCCTGTCCATGCTTCCGCGCCCCAGTATTGGTAGCACAACATCTCCAATTACGCCAGTGTCGGCTTCCTCTTCTCAGAATTCTACCCAGACAATTCCCTCCTCGCTTTCAAGCCCGGAGATTAACAATCCCTCGCTTTTAGTTGCTGGACAACAATTGCCCCCGCCAAAACGAACACGGAATGTTCTTCGAAGGAGGGCACCGACAATAGGAAAACATGTGGAGCAATCCCACTCTGACAAGCTTAGCCTTGTTATTCCGCAAGAGTCCCATTCTCTAGTTATGAACGATGTGTCAAGACACGAAGAAAATTCGACATCCTCAATTTCAGCGCAATCGGCTTCCTCTTACAAACCAACCCGCAAGAATGATAGTACGGTGGCGGTTAACTCGATGAGGTCTAGGCTCAATGGTCCGGAAGAGCTGGCAAGTCTTCGAACGACAGTTGATACGCAAAATTTGCCAGCACCTCCCACTCCCTTTTTATTGTCAAGTAGCCCCTCGACGAGATACTCGGAGTCGCCGAGTATTTGGAGTCGGGGGTCTACCCCAACATCATTATCATCATATTCTCCCGGTATTACAAAGATTGGTCGTCTAAGACAACCGAGCCCGTCTCAAACAAGATTGCCTGTTTTTTCTCCCCCGCCGCCACATGCAAGCCCTCAGCAAGAGAGGCCAGAGCCGAAGACTCAAAAGCGGGTACTTCCTACAAAGCCTTCTAGCGCAAGCGCAATAGGAACCGGCAAAGGCCAGAGAGTACCACCGTCTAAATCTCCCTCTACAGCGCCCCGAGGCCCACCTCGCAGTCCGCCGCCGAGAAAGTCGTCGGTCAATTTCAGCCCCCCCAAAGCCCCCGAAATCGACGTTGAGCAGGCTCGCAGGGAAGTTGAGGAAGCCGAGAGGCGTCTGTTTGAGCCATTAAAGGCAATGGAATATTCCCCCACACGGAGTGCGGAGACACCACAAACTCCACCACGACCGAGCAGAGATGGAACGCATCGCTTGCAGCTTGAAACATCACCGATTGTTCAAAGCAATCTACGTCATATTAGAACAACGGGCCACACAAGACGCGAGTCGATAGAAAAGATTCTAGCGACACAACGTCCACATCCAACATCCAACCCGTCTGCCGCGGTATCAATCGACTCGCTACAATCAAGAAGCATCTCTCAAGTCCCTTCCCGGGACGGCGGTTCTCCTGTACTATCCAAAAAGCCACCTCGGACCTTGACCAAGGTGACTTCCAACGAAAAGCAGGATTCAAAGCCAATGCCAACACAAAAGCGGTTTGGCCTTTTCTCAAAGAAGTCTAAGCCGGATATGTCAGAGAATTTGGCAGAGCAAGCTCGTGCCACTCGCAAAGGTCCAGCAGCGGGAACAGGTCACGAGGGCTACGGAAAATATGGACAGCGCGGCCGCAAAGCAAGCGGTAGTAGTAGTAGCGGGACAAGAACCAGATCAACAAGCACGACACGGAGTGCCGCTAGCAAAGGGAGTCAATCGAGTCGGCCGGAGTTGGAAATTGACGATTTTCTAATGAGCCGTCTAGAGCCTGTCATTATCAATGGCGGTGGACTAGACGGTGCATCGTTGTCGCGGACACAAAGCGAGCAGAGTTTCAGCAGCATAAGCGTTGCGTCGACTTCGAACTTGCCGCGGCAAACCCTACTCTCGTACTCGACTAGCCAGTCTACCGAATCCCTCGCGACTTCAACGGGAACTTTCGGTGAGACTATTACGCCAAGTTATTCCAATGGCAACGGGCCGATAGGAAACAAGAGCTCTGAGTATCAATCTAACGCGAGTGTTCGTCCAAATGCATCGAAGTCACGCATGCCCGTCCCAAGAGGAAAGAGACATGAAATGTTTGCGAATCCTCAGGCTGCCGTCACAAGCTCGTCTCTTCCTAGCCATGAGACAAGCACTGCCACCTCACACCAACCGAAGCGTGCTCAAAAGTCCCCCGAAAAATTGCCCAAGCCTGAGCAGGTTGAGAAGCAAGCCAAGAAAGGGAAGACATCGATGTGGAACTTCTTCCAGAAGAACCGTGGCAACGAACAGAAGACCTCAATTCCTCCGACGGCCTCACCCCAAACCGCGAAACTTCATGCGGCGATTTCCCCGGTTGTGAACAGTCGGCCCGTTGCCCATTACGCCTTGGTGGATGCCGATTCAGACGAGCTCGATGAAATCATCACCAACATCGAAGACTCACCACCAACAGAAGAGGAAACAATTTTCCACCCCGTGGAAGTTCCAAGAGGCTTGAGCATCAGAAAAAGAAAACCGTCAATTCTGCTTCCATCTCCACCAAAGATACATGGCGAGTTTGAAAATGATGATCGCCCATCGCCGAGGACGGCCATGTTCAATCGCAACCTGATGGCCCCGGGGCTCGAGATATCACCTGAACAACGTCCAAGGCGCTTGGCCTCTATTGGTCGGATTCCACCGGTAGTTTCACGGCGCGATAGACACCACCAACCCGCCATGCAGTCTTTCTCGCGTCCGTTCAGTGTTGTCGAATCCCCTTCCCTCACGATTCCAACGACACAAAGCTCATACGAATCTCCACCTATCGCTAATATTCCCTTGGATCTGGGGATTGGACTAAGCGAATCTTCTGACTGGGGCCATGGCTTCAACCCGACTTTTAGCGCTTCTGAGCAGACCAGCGCTTTGGAGTTCCTTGCTGGACCATTCACAACGTATGAGTTTCTTCAATTTCCACCAAAGAAAGGCTCAACATCGTCAGATAGCTCTGGGGCTCTGGCTGCAGTCACAGCCGTGGCCCCGGTTCCAGGTTCCCCGCCAACCGAGGACGAGGTGTGGAATGAGTACGATGATCTTATTGATCACGTTCTGTCACCAGATGAACCGAAGCCCGAGGAATTGGGAAAAACTGAACAGGAGGACAGATTTGAACTTGCAACGATGGCTAGCAGGGCTCTTCAGGACGAGTTGTATAATGCCAATCATCCCCAGTCAGTACCTGGTGGCAATTCCGTCCGCTCGAGTGGCAGTTCTGTTCATCTTCGCCGTTCTCAGATTGTATCTGCTTTGCAATCGTCTACCGCTCCTTCATCTCAGCCGTCTTACAGTGATCTTGTTGCTGGACATAGAGGCTCAAATGAGGACAAGACCCAGCAGACGCAGACTGACGATCCTACTGAGCAGCCTTCTTCAAAAGATCAGCGTCGTGAACAGCAGTCTACGTTTCTCAACTCCCTGGCTGCTGTCCCTTCGCCTAGGCCAAAATTTCACCGAGAACAAGAAGCCGCATCTTCGGAGCGCGAGTGGGACGCAGTGACAAGAACTAACATGCGTTCTGCTTCGCTTATGACTAGTCGCTGGTTGTCTTTCGGCCGAGTCCTTTTCAGCCCGGCGCATAACCACGTCAAGGCCGGAAGCCAAGGGCGAATTCTTGTGGTCGATGGACTGGGTAATGACGACTGGTCTTTCTACTGTTCCTTGACGTATCCTGATGCCGAGGTATACAGTCTGGGTGGACGTCCTGTATCCGCGGCACCTCCCCACCCCGCTGCATGGCAGCCCCCCACCAACCATCACACTGTATATCACGCAGGACTGGGCAACCCTCTCCCCTTTCCAAAGGACTACTTCACAGTCGCTGTACTACGATTCCCCACTGTTTGCTCCGAGATCGTCCAAGGCAACATTATCCAAGAATGCAAACGTGTTCTCCGCACCGGAGGGTATCTTGAAATGAGCCTCCTAGACCGTGACATGGTTAACATGGGACCCCACACGCGCAAAGCTATCCGTCAACTCAAAGAAATGACCTGTCTCTCAGACTCGACCCTCAGCCTAAAGCCAACCAGCGACAGCGTCCAACGCGCGCTCGGCGCCCAGGGCTTCGACAGTCTCCGCCGCTGCATGGTTCGAATTCCAGTCGCAGGTATGGTCGTCCGATCCTCCGATTCCAGCTCATCAGCACACTCCATTCCAATAACTACCCCTTCGATTGCATTTTCGCTACCTACCATATCCGTCACAACTGCAAGTGGTAGCCAAAGCACGGGAACTGCCTCGAAATCACCCTCGAAAGATGCAAATATCTCTCTCGGTGATTTGCTCTCCGACCCTTCCCCGTCTCCGGCAAATGACGAGTCAATCGCTAAGATCGTTGCCCGTGTCGGACGCTGGTGGTACTCGAAATGCTATGAGGATCCGATTTTCTCGAACGGACATTCTCAGGATCCGAGTATTTGGAATGACCGCAAAGTCCTCCGCGAGTGCCAGAAGCGCGGCACCGGGTTCCGCATGTTTATTGCATACGCTCAGAAGCCTAGTGAGGTTCCGCGACGCACGGCGAGTGTGTAGCCTAACGGCTCTGATACATTTCATTTTTCGCTTGAACTTTTCGTTTTTGTGTCTGATGTGATCCATGATTTATTGACACTATACGCTGCATGATGCAGAAAAAATACCCATATATATGCCTTATGAAGTCCGATTGTTTTTGAGCGTTTGGAAGATACGGGCTTTGTGGCTTCCGCTCAAGGCTTGCATTTGCTTTGCTTATACTTGTTTTTTGTTCAATATGGCGTACATGATGCTATGACTGATATGTGCCATAGAAGAAGAGGTGTGGGGTTTCCATTGTACAAGCAGGACTTAATATGGACAATCAATTACTTTAATTATTCTCATCTGTGTGCGAACGCCTAAAAGATCTAGTTATCCTGCAGATGCAGTTCCGAGGACGCTCGCTGCGCCCTTAACTGAAATATCAAAGCATCCTGAAGACGCATGATTTCTCTTTGCAGATGCATTCTCTCATTCTGCTCTCCAGTCTGCTTGATTATAATGCTAGCATTGACGTTAGACATAAATTCTATGCCATGACAATAACCAGATCACATACGCTTGAGTAACCCTTAGACAAAACATCTGCCTTTTCTTCCTCAATTGAACAATCTGTTTCAGCTTGTCCTCCGCCTCAACCTTTTGGGCTAGAAAGTAACCCCGTCGACCAAGTAGTATCCACAAGGGAAGAGAGTCCTTTTCGGCTAGATCTGCTCTGACTTTGTGCGCCAAGTTCTCTAGATGATGATACTGCTGGCTCTGGCTAGCTTCGGGTTGTAGCTCATCGGGGATCAAGTGGGAAACACTTTGGAGCCAATGTGCAACAGATTCGAATGCCGTAAATTCATCAAGAAACCGATGTCCAAACTCTTGCAAGTCTTTCTCAGCATCCAGTATGCGAGTCGCGTAGAATATTGCTGTGACGAATATTGCGTATGCCAATGTCAGGATGCCGATAATATTGCCCGTTGTTGAAAGGGGGCTATCATCGCATGATAGTATTTGTATAGAGCTGGTATTTCCGGCCATAGTAAATGGATTGACGTGCTTTTACGGAGGTAAAGAAATGTTCGAGTTGGAGGAAAATACCTTGAAGATCTCAAGAGATGACTCTATTCTTCGGAACCGGAATACGAGAAATTCGGCCTCGGCAATTAAGCGCCTAGATATTACTGTGGCGCAAGCCCCTTGTAAGATAAGTAACTTCGACATTCAATATATCTCAAGTGTTCATTGTATCTTAGCTTACACCCGAGTTAAATGAACCTTCAACGGGCCCTTTTCCCACATCAGGAAGTTCCTCTGTTTGATCCAATCCCGGGCTTCGTCGGCAATCTCAATATCAAAATTAAAGACAATCAAGGCAAGGATTAGACGCATCTCGCTATATGCAAGGCTGAAGCAACGTCGTTAGTATCTCCTTTCATTCTTCTGGTCATCTTAGTCATTACTTACTTCCTTCCAAGGCAATTTCTCGGTCCGATATGGAATGGTTGCAATACCTCTCGACGATCATCTGCAAATGAGGGATCACCCAAAAACCTCTCTGGGTGGTATGTGTTAGGGTCTTTGAAATACTCTTCGCGCCGATAAAGTGCCCATTGATGAACCGAAACATAGGTCTTGACAAACGCTGTTAGTAGGGATATATAGTATTCAAATCAAATGAGACTCACGTTTGCCGGAACATATTCGCCCAAGACCTTCGCACCCCCCTCAGGACACATACGGGGTAGACCGTTCGCAATAGGTGGATACATGCGCATTGCTTCGTCAAGACATGCAAGCATGTAGGGCAACTTGTTAACAGAGATCAGATTGATCTCTTCCTGGCTTTGAAACACACTGCGCACTTCCTCTTTCAACTTCTCATAGGCAGTTGGGTTCATGAGGAGGAGGTATGTGGCTCCACTCAATAATGAGGCTGTGGTTTCGGAACCACCGATGATGAGAATTTCAGCATTTGCAATGAGTTCATCAATACTCAGATTCTGACAAAGATCAGCTGTTATTCTTGACGAAAATAGTTGAAAACTCACCAGTTCTTCCCTCTTTCTCATAAGTCCCTCAATTAAGTCGGGTCGACCCTCTTCCTTTTCCATCCGCCGCATCATCTTCTCTTTGGTGAGTTTCTTATGTTTCTCGTGTGCCTCTTTCATTGACGCAGGCACCATTGATAACAGGGTCCGCTTCACGAGTGGATAGAACGAGAGCGCTTGCAATATAATGCCAAGCCGGCCGGCGTCGAAAATTCCCTTGATCCATCCATCAAGGTTTGATCCCTGCAGACAGCCAAATGGTTCACCAAACGCTAGGTCTCCAATAATATCGAAAGTGGTGTAGTTATACCAATCGGAAAGAATCACCGGACTACCGGACTTGCAAAACTCATGTAATCGGTCAAGCAACATATCAACATAGCCACGAATCATTAGCTCCTGCTCTCGCATTGCTTTTTCAGAGAAACCGTGCGCCATCTGTCGGCGGAGACGCCCATGTTGTTCTCTGCTTTCGTTGACTACATGTGATGGTTGGTCTTCGACCGGACAATAGAACCAGGTTGCCTTTGAGAATTCAGCTTGCCCTTTCTGGTGGCCCATAATATCTTGCCAGGCATCGGGGTGGGAGAAGGCCAGCTCGTCCGGTGCAATACGGACAATATCGCCATATCGCTTGTGCATTTCCAGCATGTCGAAGGGAAGAGTTCCCCGAACAGACCGGTAGACATATGCTAGTCGTGATATTTTGTGTTCTAATGGCCCCGGAAACCGGCTCAAGGGGTGAAAGTACACATTGTAGATCACTTTAGAGGCAAGATATAATATCGCCTGAACGTGTTAGAAAAGAAGACACAAAAAGCATCGCATGGCGTACCGTAAAAAGTCCTGTTACCAGCGCATGCTGTACGTTGAAAATTATCCCCATTTTGCCTCGATATTCGCTGTAGTTTACTCCAGAGAGGCTCCGATGCGACGGATTCTTATATGTGTAGATATTGATCTAGGCCGAGGTTACTCATGTTGATCGACATGGCTAATAGCATAAATTCAAGCATTCATTTTGATCAAATTTCAATCAATAATTCAAGATCCTAGCGCCAATGGGATTGTTCAGGGGCTTGAATGACATTCCCATCCGAACCCGAACCCGAAGCCGATGTCGATCAACCAGGTCGCTCCATTTTATACAGCGTCCGCCAATGGGGGCTAGGAAAGGTACGAATACGAACCCCCCCCTCCTCTGTGGACTAAAACACAGGGTGGGATCTCATTTATATGCATAATCTGTCCGGATTCCCTTTGATAGGTGCACGGATATGAAGAAACCCGTGGAATTTATGCATTTCATGCATATGACAGACTTGGACTCATTCAAAAAGCCCGTCGGCGCACACCAAAGTGCCATGTGTGCAGATTTATCTTCACAGTGCCCTCAACATGGACGCAAGATCGCCTGATCCTGAAGCGCAGTCTGCTAGACTGCCAGATGAGAAACTGAAAGAGCACACAGCAGATACGTCCGAATATGATGTCTTCTGGGAGGAGCCAGCCAGTGAAGACCCCGGGAATCCAATGAACTGGAGCTCCGGGCGTAAATGGACTATCATCGGGATGGTTTCTTTCATCACTTTCTTGACGTGGGTACTTTTTAAATGTTTTTGGTGTCGACCAAGATTCTGACAAGACTAGTCCCCTCGCCTCTTCGATGTTTGCGCCGGGTATCAGACAAGTCCTCGAAGACTTCGGTTCAACATCTAATATACTCTCGTCTTTTGTCGTCTCGGTTTACGTCTTAGGATTCGCCTTCGGCCCTCTGATTGTCGCACCCGTCAGCGAGTATAGCGGCCGCTCGTCGGTCTACAATGTTTGCAATGTCTTGTTCGTGATATTCAATATCGCCAGTGCGCTCGCTCCGAATATGGCGTCTTTGGTGGTTTTCCGGTTCCTTGACGGGTTTGCGGGTGTCGCTGCCATCACATGTGGTAGTGGTACGATTGCAGATCTTGTGCCGAGAGAGAAACGAGGTCAGGCGATGGCTATCTGGTCCTTAGGACCGCTGTTTGGTCCGATCATCGGTCCTGTCGTGGGTGGGTTCCTCGTGGAGGCGACAAATTGGCGATGGGTGTTTTGGGTTCTTGCCATCACGGTAAGAAAGACAATGTCAGATCAAAAGAGTCTAATTTCTAACTCATTTTCTAGGGCGGAACCGCATCGATCGTCTTCTTTTTCACCGTGCCTGAGACATATGCCCCAATTCTCCTTGAACGGAAAGCTGCTCGGCTGCGAAAGTCAAGAGGAGATACAGCGTACAAATCTCGCCTGGATTCCGGAATCCCTCCAAAACAGCTGTTCGTGCGGAGTCTCATTCGGCCATCGAAGATGCTTATTCTGTCTCCAATAGTAGCGCTAATGTCCAGCTACATTGCTGTTCTTTACGGCTTCCTCTACATCCTCTTTACAACGTTCACGATTGTCTTCGAGGGCCAGTATAATTTCTCTGCCAGCGGCAGCGGCCTTTCATTCCTAGGAAGCGGAGTGGGCATGTTGCTTGGTCTTGCCTACGTGGGGACATTGAGTGATCGCAAGATCAGGATCAAACTCGAGCGCAAGGAGACGCCTATCCCCGAGGACCGACTTCCCACGTATCTTACCATACCTGGCTCATTAGCCATCCCGGCTGGTCTCTTCATCTATGGATGGTCGACAGATAAAGTGGTCCATTGGATCGTTCCCGAGATCGGAAATGCGGTTACTGGGTTCGGAATGATCATTATATTGATGTGTGTTCAGACATATCTGGTAGATGCTTTCCTTGCACATGCTGCCAGTGCTGTAGCTGCTTGCACTGTTCTGCGAAGCTTGCTTGGGGCTCTTCTTCCTCTTTGTGGATTGCAAATGTATGAAAAACTCGGTCTTGGGTGGGGAAATAGTTTGCTGGCATTCCTTGCCTTGGCAATGGCCCCTATACCGATTTTGTTCCAAACATGGGGGGAGAGGCTGCGGACGAAGTGGACTATTGACTTATAGCCTAAATGGTTAGAAACTTGTAAATCTCTAGGTAGCATATACGATTAATTAATTTCTACAGCAAATCCAAGGTCCTGAAAGTGTTAAATCAAGAAAGAATCCTTAGCTTCTTTTACTGCAGCACTCAGCACTATCTGTCTGGCGTAGCTCACATTCCTCATTTCAGATCATGGTATCTCGAAGTAGATGTAACCAGTCATGAACAACATAGTCATTCAAAGGTCATAATTTGTACAGGAATAGAATAAGAAAGGAAAAGAAAAAAGAAGCCTTCTACTCAAGAAGGGCAACCATCAACCGCTGGTAATCGCTAGAAGTCTCACCGCGCACCCGGTCAATCAAGTCCCTCCCGTACTTGTGTTCATAAGCGCGCTTGACCCTCTCCTTGTGGCTGCGATCCCAGTGGACTCGAACAACACGGACAACAAGGCGGTCGTCCTTGGTGCCCATGCCGCTCATGCAATCCTCGAGTAGAATAGCATCACGCATGGCAGGATCCGTAGCCGAGCGGAGCATCAGGAGCAGTGCATCTTCCATGTGACCAGAAAATTCATCCTTGATATGCTTCTCGAGGGGGATATGATAGCGTGACTCAAAAGTTTGGCTAATAGCGCGGAGCTCAGCATTAGACGCCTGAGCAAAGATTACGCACACTTCTGTGACGTTCTCTTTAGCTTGCAGGCAGCGAACATCCGCCTCGATTGTTTGCGGATTGACAGGGGTAGATTCTTCATGGCGAGCGGCACGAAGGATAGTGGTGAAAAGAGTGGAGGTCTTGAAGGAGAGGTCGCCTTCGACATCTCTAGCAAGCGAGCGCTTGTGTCTCATTTCGTAGGCGGTCAGGATAGCATTGATATCAGCGTTGGACCGGCCGAGCAGGATGTCGTTGAGTAGCCACTCCTTTGTGCCAGCGCCATCGATTGCGTCGTGCAGGTTCTCGACATCATGCATAAGCGGTCCGTCGAGCACGGCAAGTAGGCCGTCGCGGAAATATCCTCCAGTCTCGGACTTGACATCCTTGAACAGATCGCGGCCGAGGTGCTTGGAATATGTGTCGCGGACAGCGGCCATCTGGAGCGGGTCGAGTTGCGCGAGGACTGCAATCAGGGCCTTCTCATCCGTGCCAAAGCCCTTCATCGCTTTGCGGAGCGCATCTGCTTGGGGCCGGAAGTCACCGGGCGCTAATTCACCAGGGGTATAACCGGGAGACGGTCTTGAAGGAACACCCTGGGGTGGGAAGGCGCCGCCGGGTGGTCCGCCGGGTGGTGGTGCGCCGTATCCAACGGGTGGTTGGCCTGGAGGTGGGTATCCGGGAGCACCTGCAGGCGGTTGGCTTGGAGGGGCATAGCCATGCGGTGGCTGGCCGTATGGAGGTTGCGCGGGAGGAGCATGGTATCCGTGGGGTTGTGGCGCGCCGTAAGGAACTCCCTGCGAAGGAGGGGCACCATAGTGGCCTTGGGGTGGAGGATAATGTCCCTGTTGAGGCGGGGGATAGTGGCCTTGCTGAGGTGGGTACTGGCCCGGGGGAGGAGCACCGTAAGGCTGCTGATAACCCTGGGGCGGAGGTCCTGGAGGAGGGCCTTGCTGTCCGTATTGGGGTGGGTATCCTCCGTACGGAGGTTCTATTCACTGAGTTAGCTCCCAAGGGTCGAAATGCTTTTCAAAGGCCACTAACGGTTAGGGTTATAAGACATGGCAAGACTATTGTATGTTAAAGTCAAGAACTGTCAGGGCAGAAGGGTGGTTTATAATGTCCCGACTGCCCCGAGTGTGGCGCAGTCAGGTGGGGGCGCTCTCACAGCCTTGCGGCTTTCTAAGGTTGACGCCTGCCAACCCTTCCAAGGAATATTTACTATGGGTTTTCCAAGGTTCGTAACTTCGTATTGGTTCTTCCTTATTCCCCATTTTCTAATATATTGTTGTTGCCTTGAGATTTCTTCCATCTACTATGGTGTATACAAAATGGACCTTTGACCCCTCGATTCATTCCAATTTCCAATCCCAAAGACCTCTTACATATTCAAAAGTCATTACTCATCACAGCTTCAACCATTTCCCTCCACCGCCAACAACGGTCCCTCTCTTCACCTCGCCATCGCTGAAGGGCATATCAAAACCGCCCGTGATCGAAACCCCGTTCTTGAGCTTGAGTTCAATCTGATCTTTTTCTACGGGCAACTCTTCAAAATCTTCAGATTGTTTGTGTAACTGGTCGGCTGAGTCATAGGTGACGTCGGCATTGGGAATGGAGAAAGACTGCCCGAAGCCAGTCAGGTTTCCCACGAAAATATACTGAGCGCCTTCGACTTCAAATTGACCAAGGACTCGTCCTTTGTCGCTTGTCAGGGTTCCAGTTCCTTGAGGCATCTATTTCATGAGTTGATCAGTATGCGCTACCAATGGGAACATAAAATGGTGCCAACTACTTACTATAAGGAGATCTTGCAAATATTCGCTGGTATTGGGATTAATGTTATGGATATAGGTGGTCATTCCATCATTTAAAGAGACTGGGCAAGGAAGAGCGGTCAGCTTTCAGGATTCAAGCTGGGATACCGTGCAGTGCGTCCGATGTCATACATGCAGGTCAAGTGGAGAGCCGTGCTTGGCCTCCATGTTATGGATGGTGGTTCGCCTTATCGAGTCTTACACTACAAAACATACTATGCAAGGCGCAACGCATAATAGAGATGCGTAGCCACGTAATGGGACGGGTCTCCAACCGCCCTATCTGGCAGGTCCTGAATATCAAAGTTAAAAAAAAGTCACGAACAATCTTTCAACCTGAAAGGGGATGGTTACCTACACTGCTGAGATTTTTAAAGCTTGATTGAAAATTGGAACTTGAGAGATAAGATCCTGCTGATGAAATGGCTCATTACTGGACCAGGATGAAATCTATATTTAAACAGAGACATACTTTAAGTTGAGATATTTATACTGTGTATTTCGCTAAAAGCCATTATGGCATCTGGATAGTCCTATGACTGTATTAAGAAGAAGTTTCATGTGTTATTGTTTTCGTGGAGTGCTTGTTTTTCATTCAGTGACCACCAGGGTTAGAAATGGGCCAAACCTTGCTTTATTTCATGGTAGTATGTATTTCTCACTCTACACCGATTCGCCTGACCCCAGAAATGATATATTTTAGATCAAATATAGCGTGAAGTATGTCTTTTCTTAATTTCGAAGATCTTGAGCTCCAGACTACATATAGGAATGCATACTGCTTCCCCCATCAAATCTGATAGCGCTAGCCTATTACGGTTAGCGCAGCCCCTTGGCCGAGATGCCAGTGCGCCTCCGCAAAATCTGTAGAATAGGCGCCTAGATTCCCTCTTAGTAATGGTACAGTTCATATTAAATGCCTCTCGGGGTTCACCATAGATTTATGGTACCTGCTAGTGATTGACATGGACACATTACCTCCAGGCCGCCGTTCGCACCGGAAATCGCGATCAGGATGCTTACAATGCAAAAAGCGAAAGGTCAAGGTGAGGAATTCATCAATATTTCTGGCGAGTATTAGCTTATAGTTCTGTATCAGTGCGATGAGAGCCAGCCACGTTGTCGGAACTGCGAGAAGCACGGGGTTGTTTGTTCCTTCGCCTGTCCCTCAACCGCGCTTTCTCCACCCCAGGCGGACCCAGCAGAGTCACCTGTGTCGCTATCTGGCCCAGATAGCACCGGACCTGGAAAAATTCGTGCCCCAGTACCTGGAATCTCACAAGTTTTACCAAGTCTGTCCTCATTAGGACCATTCCCTTCCACATTGGCTGTTTTTGACCTGGAACTGTTGCACCACTGGACAACGTCAACCTGCTACACACTATCGCGAAGCCCCGCTGTGCAGACCGTTTGGTGCAATGAAGCACCCCGAATTGGCTTTGCAACGCCTCCAGTGTTGCACACCTTGCTAGCACTTTCTGCGCTACATCTAGCTCGCTCTGATGAAGCGCGACGCGCAACATGTCTTGCTCACGCACAGATGCACCACAGCACCGCCGTGAGAGAGATGATCCCGCTCGTTTCACCTCTTGCGCGAGACAATGGTGCAGCACTTTTTATTTTCTCCTCTCTGACGTGCATGTTCTCTTGCGCCAAGCCATCGGAAGAAGGCGATTTCCTGGTTCTCTTTGAGCGTGGGAATCTATCAGAGTGGGCCCGTCTTTTCCGAGGGACAACAACTGTTATTCATACCGGCGGTGAGGATCTTCGTACCGGGAGGCTGGCACCTATCTTCACAAACGGATCTTATCTAGCTGCTGCCCATCGCTCGCCACATGCCCTTGAGCAAGGCAAGCCTCATGTTTGGGAATTGCAACAAATGATATGGAGAGAATGCGCAGCTGACCCGTCACTTCGAGTTATCTATCAAGAGGCTTTAGATGAACTAGCCCGCACATTGGGTCTAGCCATAAGGCCTGGAATCATGCGGAGACTCGAGAGCGCAGATGTCTTTCGGTGGCTGCTTGATGTCTCAGATCAATATTTAAACCTCTTGTGCCAGGAAGCACCGATTGCACTCGTTATATTTGCTCATTGGTGCGCATCTATTCGTCAGATCGAGTGGATGTGGTGGATGGAAGGTCTAAGCTCGCGCCTTATGACACAACTATATTCTGTGTTGGATCCAAAATATCGAGATTGGCTTTTGTGGCCACAGGAGATTATTAATGGGAGCCATGAACAGTTAAGTTAAATCGGATTTCTAATTATCAAAGTTTGGATACCCCATTAGGGAGAAACAAAACACCCCTGTGGTGGAAGAACAAGGGGTGCAAAAATGGTTTCATAGCATATACTAAGAGGCATATTGCCGGTCTGCTATCGGATTACCTCTGTGTTTCTCATTAGATCTATGGACACTGCCAGTCTCTATAATAAATGTTCAATGCAGAAGATAGCTTGAATAGACATTGGTACGTGAGTTAGAGCACTTGCTTCCAAGGCTATGTCTACGGCTATCGCTGGTTTAGTTACCATGAATCGCTATTATTCTCATTTGTGCGGTCGCTTCCTCACAGGCCATTCTTCAGGTCCTTCTACATGGCTTGCGTGACTTTTGATTGCACTCCTTCCTAATCAGTTGCCTGCTGCTCCGTTTGCTGTTGTACTGCGGGATGTACTCACTTGCCCGAGTGGTCCTGGCGGATGTGCGGCGCAGGGAACGACCATTGGTAAAGACGAGGCCGCAAATATGCCGGTCAGTCTCGCATAGTACCAACCTTGGTCTGATATTTCTTTATCTTGACTTTTGTGGCGGTGCTATCAGTGCATGGAGTGAGAACGTCCTTTTCTCGGTTGAGACGGTTTTGCAGTTCTCCAAACCGAAGCACGCGAGGATCTTGTCAATGCAACCCTAAGATCGGGGCCGTTGTACGGTGTAACTAGTCAACTGCGAACTATTCATCCGCACAGACGAGGAAGGTACGTTCAGCCCAGCTGCAAGGGTATTTCCAAGGTTGTAAAGTTTGCTGACAGTCCCGAGGTCTCCCAACGGAATTACGAGCTCGTGCCTCCGTACCACGGAGTTTCTGCTCTATAAACTCTATCTGTGCTCCCATTTATGTCTCTTGACCTCGGGATTTCTTGGAGCTCTTTGAAAGTGGTTCCTCGCGATTGATCAGTTGCCTCATACTTTCAACTATGTAGACCATGATGAATTTGGCACTTCTTTTGTCCAAGTACTGGGGGAATATGATCTGCCAAACCTCACACTCTGTGCTGATCGTAGATGTGCTACGACATGTCGAATTCGTAATTCAAGTCGAGAATACTAGCGAGGAGAATTGGGAGGATCGAAAGTAGGAGTAGGCAGTTGATCCCCAGTGGACTGAGACTCAAAAATAGCCATCCTCTGGTCAACCCGAAGGTACCGAGGGGACGCCTAGCTAGCGCGATAAACACGGCGAATGAGACCATAAGCCTTCCCACAACTTCAAGATCATGGCACTAGTATGCTACCATGGCTGCAAGCAGCACAAAAACGAAGGTTACTACATAGCCATTGTGGTTTATTGGTTAATTCGCACGATAAACAAAAATATCAAAAGAGGAAAGATGGGAAGAGAAAACAAAAGGAAACTCCACAGATGTAGGGGAGACCTCCCACGTGCCTTCCGAAAGTGGACAGTTCCCTCGCACCTTCCCCATGTTCGTTCAAAGGGTGCGATGGACGGAACAACCATATGACAGTCTTCTGTCAATTGTGACGGGTCATACCGGGAGGTCGCAGGTGTAGCTGCCACTATATAACTGGGGGCCCCCAGTGGACCAATTTCCGGCCATGCGTATAAATCCCCCCTCTTTTTCCAACTCTCCTCTTCTCTTCTTGGATATCCAGCACGTATTGATCCGAGACTTTGGGCCTCAACTTTTCAATTTATCCCATCTGCTGTACCTGCCGTAGTGCCGTAGGGTGCCCAGTTCACCTTGTTTGGGATTCTTCTTTTGCGACGTTGATGAGATATGGTGAGAGGTGGTTAAGGAGCGATGAGAAAGAATTAAGAGAGAGAAGCGAGAAAAAATGAGGTAGGACATATAAAGTAAGAAGTAAGAGACAAGTGTGGAAAGAATAACAAAACTGAAGTCATTGGCACAGATGCTCAAGAGTCAACACCATCCCTTGTATACTTCAAGGACAGCGAAAACCCCTAAGCAAGGGGAGAAGAGAAGAAGAAACACCTTTCTATTCATGCACAAATAGGCCAAAAAAGAGACCAGGACTCGGCGAGGTAGCCTAAACAAGCCTCGGGCATCATGGCAAGAATAAACCAAGTCTGGGTGCGATGTTGATGCGTCGCTCAATGAGACTGAATTCGGTATCATTCGCCCAGGCTTAGTACTTAGCGAGGCCTTCATAATTATATAGGGTTAAACCTACTATCGTTGTTGGCGGGATAGTGAGAGTGGAAAGTCCAAGGGTTTCTTGTCGATATTCAAAGTGAGAGAGGCCAATGAAGGGAAACAAACAGTGTACAGAGTTCTCTGTTCGAACAACACCATTGCTGTCGTCTCGAAAAGAGGAATTCATACACCCGCCGCAGGTCCGCGATAGTTCACTTCGTATGTTTTGAAAGGCGAACCCAAGAAAAAGGGAACTTTCTCTCTTGGTCGACGTCTCAATTCTTCTTCCCGTTCTCGAACTCGTCGACTATGCTCTTTACTCCGACGCTTCTTCGCCCTCTGCTGCTTTTTCTTTTCCGACATCGTTGAAAATTTGCCGAATATATGCCTTAGCCAGCCCATAATTGCCCAATTTATGTTCTCTTTGGACACTCTGGCGGATTTCCCAGGCTGGTTGTCAGCCGAGTGATGAATAAGTCCGTCTCATCAAGTGGGTGCCGATGGTAATGATATAGTGAAATATATGCAGATTTTGAAAAAGAAGCGGGATACACTTTGAAGGGTAGCAGGGCTGCACAACAACAACTCGATTCTGATGTGAAGGTGGAAGTTCGGGGGGTCGTCTCACTCTGGGCTCGAGCTAACCGATTCGGGCGACCCGTTCTCCGTTCAACAGAGAGGTACTCAAGCTATAACGTATTCGGTAAGCGAGTGGTCCAAAAACACATAGTAAATCTGATATATGCTACACTTATCTCAACAACCAACACCTTTGTTTTATTTGACTACTTATGGATAGCTATTGATAAGCATTTTTGGTCGTACATATCAATTTCAAATGATTTTAAATCTCGCATTGTTGGGGTATCGAAAATTACGCCAAAGGCTCTAGGATATATATATCTCAGTTAGTAGTTCACCAAATTTTTAAAAACTCCTTCGAGTGGACGGATATCATATAAAAAGCATCCCGGCTGTATGGAAAATTTCATACAGACTACCGTTGTTGAGATATCAAGTTGTAATTTATCGCATTTAGTACGTGTTTTGGGACCACTGGCTTACATGGACTGCTCGCTTACCGAATGCGCTATCCTCTTTGTTATATTTCCCACATCCTTATGTATAGTAGGAATCCAACATATTCTCTAGAATTACTTCTCGGGTGCCCTTATAGGGCCGAAACGACTCATTCTCTACCGGTCAAAATGCGTAGACTGCCAATGAGGCCGCAGTTATCATTCAACTGGAAACCCCTGGATTCTAGTAGATTAATTATTCCGCAATACATTTTACAATACTCTTACGGCCCCCGACCCACAGCCCGTATGTGGCCCCAAAGATCGTCAAGAGGAAAAAGCTCTACGTCATGAGTTTCTCGAGTCAATATGTATTGACAACTTATTCGTAGATATATACACCGAGCTTGCCTTGATGTCTGAGTATTTTGGCCGTCAATGTTGTGGATGGTATCGGTCATAGGGAGTCAAGGCCGGCCTCCCTACATCGTATACAGATGCCAATGTAGATCCCCTAGAGAGACCCACCAGTCCAACAGATGTATCAATCTAACATTCTCTTAGCGATCGTCTATGTTGTAGCGGTCGGGCAATTCTCTGCCCCATTGCAACAATTAATCGGTTACGGTAGATCCGATTTGTAACCTCTACCACCTAGCATTCCTATTATTTGTTTTCTTCCTATTCGCCTTCTCCGTTCAAACTGAAGGTTATGAGAAAGATCCCCGAGAGATTTATCGAGACAGCCCCATCCATCCTTTCTCGCGACGCAGATCAAAAGACATTGTTATTCCAACGACCGAAGAGGAAACAAGAAAACCAAGCGTAGGTGAGTTTAGGCTCCGAAAAGTCCATCGAATCCTGAACTGACAGGTATTAACGAGGCCCAAACCACGTCCAGCAACTGGTCAAGCCCGACTGTTGTACACAAGATGGAACATACGAAGCAAGAGACACATGCACACACATCTGCTTCGAACGGGGCCGATTATGATGTTGAGAAATTGCCCGAGCAGCCCCCAAAAGCGCACTCTCACCACCAACAAAAGCTTCATGAATGAGTGGAAATACGGTTCCAAGGCACGTGTGGTGAAGTATGCTGTCGTGCATCTCTGTATAGGCATACTGGTTGGCGCTATTATTGGTGTGGTTATCGGTCTATGTGTTCGGTATGTAGGTAAATAGTCCTAATCGCAGGGATACCCATCACAGAGTTTATATATTCATTCGAGTACTCCGTATATCATGGACGATATAGATGTGCATGGCTCATTGAATCTAACAATATACTATGTATGCGATGAGGGGAAATGCAGATGCAGCATTCAAATTCATAACTCCGACGGTCATAATCATCGTAATTATGCAACGAACAGACGCAAAAAAGTGAGAGAGAAAAAGTAGAACGGGTATACGATGCATGTCGTGCGTATCATAGGTATGTGCGATCTTCAAACGCAAAAAGGCAAAGGCATCTTATCTTTACCTAAGGATCTCCCTGACGAATTCAACATGCGAACCAGGAAAGAGTCCCGTGCGACCAGCATAACACCCCCAGAACCAATCGTCGTTTATATTCTCCGCCTCAGTGATAAGCGCACCGCGCGGGAAAACAAGCTCGTCTGAGACTTCTTCTTCTGGGTACCAGGACCACAGAGCGTGGACGACGAGTCCGACACCACCGTTAGGCGGGAAGCGGCGGAAGGGCGGGATACCCTGAATCGGGGTCACGGTGGCATTGGAAACGGGTGGATTTGAGGGATCACAAGCAGAGACAGAACTTCTGCTGGTATCGTTCGTGGGGGCAGGTCCAGCGCGCAGACGGGATGCTTTCTTACGGCGCTCGGGACCGTCCTTCCAACTCCAGTCACCGTTTCCAAACTCCGGGGATGCAACGGGGCCTCCGGCTGCTGGGGAGGAAGTTTGTGATTGTAATTGTGACTGTGCTACATGCTCGTCTTTCAGGGCGCGGCCACCCACAAGGTCGCGGACAATGACACGGCGCTGGCCTTCTTCGTGGTCTTCGAAACCGACTACGATCACGCGGTGGCCGGCGAGGCAGCGGCGCCAACCGTTGTGTCCGTTCTCTTTGTTTATTTTGCCCGTTGCCACGAGTTTGAGGTAACAGTTTGTACATACGTCGTAGTCACCGCCATTGCATTCCAGGCAATGGTAGCGGGTATTTGAGGCTGGGATTGGATATGTGCAGATATCGCAGTTTGTTGAAAATGAGAGAATTTTGAAGCTCTCGATCTCAGATGGTGTGGGGAAGGTATTTGATTCAGCTGGCGGCGGTGTGGTAGACAGTGCTGATGGAGGTGGACTATGGGTAATGCGCCGGATGGGCAATAGGGCATGGGTGCAGCATCTTCCTTGGTTGACGCAGGAGTTACAGAACCCCCAGTCCCCCTCGTTGCACTGATTGCATTTCCAAAAACAATCGTTTGCCGACGATTGACACGTGTCACAGAAGAGGCCGCTTTGTAGCCGGCGGACCGGGTTGTCGCTCGTCATTTGTCTCTCTCCGCTCATCGTTTGATGAGAAGTCTCGGAGGGCCGCTGATATTTAAACCACATTAGGATATGACCTGAGTCATCAATTTGTACAGGGCGTCGAGTAGACGACGATATGATTCTTTGGAATGTCGTATGTGCGGAGGCACCAAATCCGTTCCATCGAAGACAGCCACGTCCCAAGCGGTAACATCGTAGACACAGGTGGAAGTTTCCTTCCTTGCAACTTGTGCATCTCTTGTGTAGACTATATTGGATGTTGTCCTTTCCACAACGGTCACAGGAGATAGAGGGCTCTGAGAATTGTACAGTGGGAGATGCAGGAACATTGGATCGGGACGAAGATGGTCTTGTTCGTCTATCTGACCGGTTTGGAACAAGGGGCGAAGATAATGACGGAAGGGTGTGGTCAGTATGAGTCAAATGGCGGGATGAATTTGTGTTCGCAGCGCCAGAAGTGGGAGAGTTCGTGGCTGATTGACTCCTGATCTGTCTAGAGGAGCCTCGTTCTCGTCCTCCGGCCATCAGCGTGCTAGAGAGATTCTGTTCTGACTCTGTGGCACGTCGCGGCCTGGCTGATGATGACTCTGATCGTAAGCGCCCAGCCTGAGAGACGCGACGATCCGCAGTCATATCACTGGAGGATCGGGCAGCAGGCCTTATGGCTTCATCTGACGCTGACGCCTGATTTGTTCGGACGGGCGAGGTCCTTCGGCGCCCACCTACTTGTTCCGAGTTGCGCCTTTGATGGCCCACGCTCGGCCGTGTGGGAGCCAAATCGAACAGATGCGGCCTGGAAATTGGCGGTCTTCTAACATTGTGTTCTCGGGTACCCGCCGTTGGTTCTGCAGTCCTATGGGCGGACTCGGACCTCGCATGTGTTCGCGCAATTCCGTCAGGCTCTTGCCGCTGTTCTCGTCCCTGTTCTTGTCCCTGACGAGACTGCGATCTTTGCATATGCCTCCGACGGTAAGCATCCGCGATGCGTTCACTGAGTTCCTCTTCTTGCCTTGGACCGAGATTATCGAGGTTGATGTTGTCCAGTAATCCGTCCTCAAGAATTTGCCGCAAGATCTCTTCCTCCATAGTCTCCGCATCAGAGGACAAACTCAATAAGGAACGCAGACTAGATTGATGTTCGATTCGCCGCGTGCGCTCCGAATCATCGGGCCGTAATGTACGTTGCTGCCGCGTCGTATCATCATCCCTCCGACGCCTGGACCGACCGTCCTCCGTAGGCCTCTCGGTATGGCTGCTTCTCTCACGCGTCCGCGAGGATTGGCCCATCCGTCGGGCCTCGCGCCTAGCTTGTGACCGGCTTTCGCGTAAACTCAGCTCGCGTACATCCTCCAGAAGGCGTCTATCGTCCTCGCCGTCCTCCTCCGCACTCTCCCCGCCCGAAGGAAGTGCTGGGAAAACCGACTCCCCGTGTGTGTATCTAGTAGCAATCTCCACCTTTTCATCTGCTGCTCTAGCTCGATCTGGGTGTGCGGTCAAGACCATGTCCAGCAGGGTCGTCACGGTGGCATTTGGGCGGGTGTCGCGCACTTCAGCACGGCAAGACGGGCAGGTAAATCGAGGGGAGGCGCGGGGGCGACGCGACCCTTGCGCGGAGAACCATTCTTTCACACATGAGCCGCAGTAAGTGTGGAGGCAGTCGAGGAGAGTGAGGGGTTGGTAAAGGAGCTCGGTACAAATCTGGGGCAAAGAGCGGTGTTAGAAAGATAAATGTAAGGGGGCGGAATGGAGTACATACAGAGCATACCAGCTCTTTTTCAAGGTCGGCCAATCCAGAACTTTGAACTTGAGACATGAGCAAGTTTTGGAGTT